TATATATATATATATATATATATTTGCTTATATACATACACGGTTCTCCATTACAGTTTACACAGTTCATAACGCCCAATCCCTCACGACAAGGGTTAAGCCTTCAATCCTACACATATGTAACAACTGGGCTTTTAATATTGCAGTTCTTGCTATACTGAGCTAGAGTGCACATCCTCGATTCGCGCTGTTGAAGGCTCGTTAACCTTGCTCATATTCGGTTCATTCGTTTGTTTCGTAGTACAGAACTACAATGCCCATATTGTGAGAAGAAGTCAGTGTTCAATCCGCACGTACAGATCTAAAGTCTTGAGCTGCAAGCAACTGACTGTTATGTGAGGCCTGTGACATTTATTTGATATGAGAACAGAAGTTCATCAGAGAATGGGCCGTCTTGTCATAATTGATATTTAATTAGGTTGATGGTTGCTAATAATCCTTTACATGGGCGTGAGATAAGATAATCGGCAAATTTGATAACTACTATCTTGAACAACCTTATGAAGTTTATATGCTTCCATTTGATGTATGGTAATCGATAGTCGACAGGTGGTTGTGATTTCGAGAGAGTGCGCCTTATACTCTCATCAATTTTAGTCTCTCTATAAAATCATACTATATGCTATGACCGTTTAGAAGCTTGTAAATATGAGCGCATTTATGATATGTTGACAGAAACCCTTTACCTATAAATATCTAGGGGTAAAAACATCGTAAGCTGCTCCGATACAATTCCCCATCCGCCTATCGGTAGCAATGTTTGTGTATCACAAAATCCTTTATCAAAGGCTTAGGCCTCATGGTACCGGACTCGCTGCACAAAATGTTCTATTTATTTTTTAGGATCATTCAGAAACTCCAGATCACATTTATTCATAGAAGGGCTTCTGAGTATGGGTTTCCCGCTTTAATGGTAGTATTCTGCATCGAAGGCCTGAACTGAAACGGAATATGGGTACACACATAGTCAAGACGAACTACATAATCAGAGCACCACAAAGCACTGAGTAGAGATTCAACAGTGTATGTATAGCGTACAGGGAGTAGCTCACAACGGAAGAAAAAATTGTAGTAGCGTGCGAGCAGTACAGAATCAATGCAGTGAAGGCTTGTCTCCAGCCCCAGCAACGAAGTACAGTGAACACGGAAGGTGGGCATAGAGCGCACATACGGTACTAAACAATGAAAGGTGCAAGAACGTCAGATAGAGACCACGGCAGTGAAAACAACTGTGCGATTTATTGGCATTCGGAAGGATTAGACAAATTCGCTCGTCCACGAAATCTCACAACGTTGCTCTACGACCTGATTAAAGTCAAGATCCATTAATGGATTGTGCCCGTTTCAGCGACGGTTTCGATAGGCTATAAACCTGTTTTTATTCTGTTTAAGAACTGTTAGAACGATACGCGTAGGCGTATAATTGGAATACTTATTAGTTAATGAAAGCGGCTGAAGTGGTGTATTAAATGCCCACATGCGAGACCATTAGGGCCATGCGGGCGACATACTCTGTGACCTTGCAGTATCTGGACTACAAACAGACAAGAGGTTGTACGTAGTCATAGGTATATCGCTTCGAAATTAGCGCATTATTATATAGTGGTACATTCTTCATATTTTGCTAGTGTCTCGACCTTTGTTCATGTATAGCCGTGTGAGAACAAGTGCAAACGCATGCGCCAGGTGGAACGGTAGGGGTGCCGTAGAGTACTCGACTATGATATGCTTATTGTCTGTGGTTATGTGTGCGATGCCTTCACGAAGTTGTACACCATAGCGCCCATCGTCCTATCCATGTCCGTACTGGCGAGCTTGCTCTATAGCGGTGCGAGACAAAGTGTAAACGCAAGCGCCAGGAGGAACGGTAGGGGTGCCGTAGAGTACTGTGAACAGCAGACTGTGAATTGCTTATTGTCTGTGGTTATGTGTGGGATGCCTCCACGGAGTTGTACACCATAGCACCCATCGTCCAATCCATGTCCGTGCTGGCGAGCTTGCTCAAGAAGTGAATCTTTCTATCCGGGGACAAGTTAAGGCCCTGGAATACCACGATTAAAGGTATCAGAAATTTGAACGACAAGTGTTGTGTATACGATAGTTAAATAGTATAAACCGTGCCCACGAGTCTCAATATTGAGAAGCTCAATTTGGAAACAGCCATTGCAGAATTGTACTACATACCAGTACCGTGTTCAAAATACTTCCCCAGGATATTCTATCCTCTAAACTGAAATGCTGTTCTTAATTGTTCCCTATTCATATTTTGAGCAAAGAGTATCATCTCGTATGTAGTACATCTCTCCACGACAGTAGTCCGGCACGTGTAGCGAAGCTCACACAAAAAAAGACTACATGTTCCAGGTGCATTCTCCGAGTGAGATAAAACAACATTACTGGCACGGTGGCGTGTAGCAACCTCCTAGGTATAGCAGATGAGCCTGTGATGTAAATGCATGTGCACCAAAAACGATGGAATATAAACTATGCCTATTTTGTAAATATGCATGTATCCTACGCCAAATAACACAGACAAAGTATAGTACATGTTAAACACACCTCAACTAAAAGCGTAGATACATATGCGGCTGAAAAGCAAGCCTCTCTGGCAGTAGCCTCATCAACAGGATGGGTGCCGTTGCTGGCTTGCCACTTCTTAGCTTCCTCCTGAGATTGTACGCGAGTCAATGGAAGGTGACGATTAAAATCAACTTACTTGAACCGCACGGTGTCACACAATGTCACGCACTATTCACATAAGTTTGCAGGGGTATGTGCGTGGCTGTGTCAGTACGACTAAGTAAGTCCAGTAGGAATGTGGTTAATCACAACATGGACACATCGTTCCTTTGAGCGAAAGAAAAGAGCAAATGATCATCCCATTTATGCATCGAACACGACAAACTTGGAAATCAGGAAACCGCAAATCTCGTCCGCATATGTGAAGTCAAAGCATAAAATCATCTACAGGTGCGACCCTCAAGGTTGGTAACATATATAACCGTACGAATACATTTTGTGGGAGAATGAATATTCTATACAACAACGGGAATTCACTAACCAAAATAACTAGGACAGTAATATACATCGGTAACACCGAGACATTCATACATCCACGCCTGATATCGATACAATAAGACCTTACCCATGATAGGGAATTGCAAATAGGAGCAGCCTTCTCATCTAGACAGGAAATGGGGTTCAGTCCATCACAACCCATGGTCTCCGCCGCACGGTAGAAATTGTCCATGGCGTAAAGGTCTATATCAGCTGGGACCTTCGGCTGTGTCAGATAAGTAAAGAGTGTTAGTTCACGGGCTGCATGTGTGTTGTAGTACAAGACTGTCAACAACAGCCAAGAAGATACGTGCTTATCATGTATTGTATTGATCATGGTGGCGTAAAGGTCTACTATATCAGCTGAAGTCTCCGGCTGTATCAGATAAGGAATGAGTTGCATGTGTATCGTAGTACTAGACTGTCAAGAACAGCCAAGTAGGTACGTGCCTATCATGTATTGTATTGATTATGGTGGTATAAAGGTCTACTAAATCAGTCGGGGTCTCCGGCTGTGTCAGATAAAAAAAGAGCTGCATGTGTGTCGTAGTGCAAGACTGCCAAGAATAGCCAAGAATATACGTGCTTAGCATGAATTGTTTTGACCATGGTGGCGTAAAGGTCTACTATATCAGCTGAAGTCTCCGGCTATGTCAGATAAGGGAAGAGTGTCAGCTCACGTACTGAACGTGTATCGTGGGATACGGCTGTCATGATCAGTCAAGATTATATGCGTTCATCTTGTATTGAATTGATCATGGCCGCGGAAAGGCCTATGTCAGCAGGGGTCACCCGCCGTGTCAGCTATGTAAATAGTGTAATTTTACGTACGTTATGTGTACCGTACTATGAGGCTGACATTAACAGACAAGTAAATCCTACTACGCGCTTATCGGGATACACGTTGATTAACTTGTCCTGACAAATAATATATTGTAACTAATTCACGTGCGCATTCGTGTTATATTGGCAGGATATTATGCCTGGAGCAGCCAACCTGAAATGGTCGATTCAAATTGCACTGATACGTACAATTCCTAAACGGACAACATGTTGGCGAGTGTGCGCTTTTCGACCTTGTCTATGCTTTTAGATTTAAGTCACAAAATGCATGGGAATATAAAGCTGAGAATGAATTCAAGAATATTCGTTCTAGAGGAAGAAGTTTATAGATGTATACGTATACACACTTATGTATATACAAAGTGCACACGCATTCGGCGCTGATTGATGGAACATATCTGTGCCAATTACAAGCGATCGCGAGCAACCTCGAGCGACGTCGAGTCAAACATCTACACCAAGTCAATTACACTCGGTCGACTGTATACACAAACACAAGACACAGATACCAAAGCGTATCTAGTGGCGCAAGGATGTACGACCGCATACAAAAGCACCCCACAGACTCACACAGGTATACATATTTGTATATACCCATACTCGCTCACACACACACACGCACACACAAACACACACACACACATATATATATATATATATAAACGCACACACCTGATAAACCCCTCGGATTGCACAAGGCTTTACAGCGCAATAAGAGTTCTTCTCCATCAGCTCACTCAAGTATAGCTTGCATTCGTTGTATTTGCCCGTGCCATATACGTGATATGTGCTGTTTTGTATCTGTACCTAATGTGCAAACGGGGCGGGAAGTGTATGTATCCCAAATTAGCATTTCATTTTGCACACCAAGCCATCTGTAAGCAAAATGAGAAAAAAATCATGTAGGATAGCTGGTACAGCTGAGTCCCCGAATATAATCGACATCACATGGTGTCAATCACAAGAGGTATTGAGAGACTCAGTTTTAATAAGCAGGGCACGGAAATAAACTACTAGCAAGGCTTAGAATATAAGATATAAATGTATGTACACACACCGCATAATATAGACAAAGGGATAACGATTACATATCGAGGTAATATAACCACTTTGTAATATAGCGGGTGCTGTATATTTCCAACCATGTGCTTATCTTGTTTAGTCCTACTTGACAAGGTAAATATTCAACCACAATCTGAATGATTTAAAAGAAATTTAATTACATATCCATATACAAATACATACTTATTTGTACACTCATATTCGTTTGATATTGATGTTCTATACCCACTCGAGGCTTCAATTCCGATCACTGTCATACACTGACTTTGAAAACCTACCTCCTGGTGTGAATTGTGCCAGAAGCAGGGATCTGAGAAGTGTGTCACACCGGGGCCCTTTTTGGCGGCAATTCTGTAAAAATGTTGCTTCTTGGCCTCATTTTTACCCCAGCCTGGATTTTGTGGTGAATGATTTTAGTATAGGTTACATTCTCGCTGCACAATCGGATTCGATATGACAAAGCGCTTCTTAATGGCATGTAGGTTAATTCATGGAAGTGATACAGTTAAACGACAGTATTAGGTTATACATAGTCTTGCATTTCGATATATAGCCTTCAAATCAAAAAGTACAAAGTCACGAGGAAGGGCAAATAGAACACCCCACACACCGGAAGTGTAAGTATACAGATTTTATCCATTCGAATTCATGTTTAACTCAAACAAACACAGTTCGACACACAAAAAAGGTCAAATAGGACACCTCACGCACCTAGAGTGTACGTTTTCAGGGTTTATCCGTTTGAATTCATGTTCAACTCATACGCAAACAGTACATAAGAAATGACAAATAGGACACTTCACGCATCTAAAGTGTAATCATGCAGGTTTTATCTGTTGAGATTCATGTTCAACTCCAACACACAAAGTACATAAGGAAAGATAAACAAGACACCCCACGCCCCTAATGAAAATTAGTGTGCAGGTTGTTCTCGCCCATATCCATTTCCAAATAAGTACACATTGAATAACTCGCCCATATCCATTTCCAACAAAGTACACATTGAATAAATAAACTAACACACTCACACAGAGATACGATAACCTACACACCCAAGTATGAGTTGGTGTACAAGTTGTATTCGTTCAGCGCCATCTTTAACTCCGTAAAGTTTGGCAACGGCGCAGGTAGTGTCTGATAAGCAATCTGAAATGACGCACCCCCCATGTCCAACGCACCCGTGATAGGAGTCCCTTTAGCACCAACCGCCAAACTGCATATGCATATTTGTGTGTTTGTGTATGGGTCTATGAGCAACGATAATTGAGGTTTGATAGCAGCCGCCATCGCACATACCGCAACACTGCATATATGTGTGCTTGTATGTGAGCGTACGAGCAACAATAGTCGAAGATGGATGTATATACGTAATAAGGCAAGGTGGGTGAGTATATTTATATGCGAGTGCGATCTGCCAGAAATTGAAGATAATGATTGACAACAGCTGCGCAATGTAGGTATATGGATACCGCATTGTAGTACAATAACAGTTGGAATTGTATGTATAATATATAAATGCAGCTGCATTGTTGCGTACAAGAAGTAATAATTGTATATCTGAGCAATACGCTTAAATTGTGCTAGAGAAGGGTTTGCGGGAGGAGAGCGAATCACAAAACTGACAGATAGAATACATACTCCCGATGACGCTATGAACGAGTACACATGCTGTATACTTGGTCAAGGCATACGATAACCGTGCCAGCACCACACGCGGCCACACACAGAAATGTACAAGGGTACAGTTATTTCTTCTGACACGCACATTGATTCGAAACAACTAGACACAATCAAATGTATTCATATCATAACATTAGTACATGTGCACACAAATTCTACATTCACGAGAACGGACTATCAACAACTTGGGTGCACGAAACGAGTCTGGCCATCATTGTCACAGATTTCATGAATATATTATACACATGAACGCAAATTACATGAATCGAAAAAAAAAGAACATACTAATCGTGGATATAGGCTGTCGATATCCAGTCAAAAAGGGCCTCCTCCTCGCCCGTAATCGTTCTGGCCCATTTCCGGGAGGTGAATAGGAACTTGTTATCCTTGCTTTCCAGAATTTCGTGTACCTGAGGACAGTGGGTGCGGCCCCAACATTGTTTCCGAAGTAAATCAGGTGTCGATCATCGGTTGTATGTAGGTGCCAAAATAAATTCGATAGAAAGTCA